GGTTACTGTTTATTGGAGAAAGCAGTAGGGTCATAGAGAGAACAGAGGTCAACAAGTCAGTTAGGGAGCTATTGTATTCACATAGTGGCTTTCGTCTGTTGAAATCAGGCTACGCCTTGGAATCTGGGAGAGGATGGCTCGAACAACATCAGACACCTGATTTCTCTGCGTTTCTCGTTATTATATCAAAGACATTCCATCACTCTAATGATACCACATCCTCAGGGTTCAAAGCACCCCAACTTAGTTCGGGTCGTCAGAGTTCTGACCAGTACGAAAGGTTATGAAATTGCATTTAATTATAATTATCATTTCATACATTTTGTCTAGCCTACGCATTCTGAGACGGCGTTGTATTAAATTAAGAAATGCCAGAGAGAAAAGTCTAATTTCACGAGGTTTTTTGAAAGAAATACGATCAAGAGGCGAACAGAGATAATAAAGACCGTGGGAAAATTATCTTTGTTTAATTTAATGCATTCTTTTTAGATGAATGATCTGGATTTAAAATCAAGTGGTATGCACATTGATACTCAAGAACCTGTTACGAAAGAAAGCGGTGGGGATGTATTGCTTGAAACCACGACCTCAGTTTTCAGAATAATGCGTAGAAAATTCCTTTGAAATCATAAGCACAAAAGAATTCACTAGAATATTGAATTAGTCCTGTAAAGAACATCTACCACTCGGCTAATTATCAAAAACCAGCTGGATACATGCCGAAAAACTTCTCGATCTGAATTGTGGCCCTGTAAGGAGATGGTGGCTACCGGGTTCGAAGTGGGTGGTGGTGAAGATCAATTATCATTGGTAGGATCAAAAGAGTTGATCACTTGAGGTGTTTTGAGCTGTATGTTGTTTTTGTATTGTTTTGATTCTATCAATCGTTCGTTGATTTACCCGCATGATTTGAGAGACTCGACATTGCAGCAATCACATTCAACAACATACGTATTCAAAAGTATTGAGAAAAAGTAAAAATTATATATAAGTACTTTAAAAGGATATGAACTGATCATGTACATTGCTTTCCATTGTGTTTAGGTGATATCTAAGCCTACGAGACTAATTCCTCAAGTATTAGATCATAACGAGGCACATTGGGATAGATAGATAGATAGATAGATAGATAGATAGATAGATAGATAGATAGAGGAGAATGGGATAGATAGATAGATAGATAGATAGATAGATAGATAGATAGATAGATAGATAGATAGATTTACTGACGCTCGGGTATCACTGATCATGAATGCACCAGAAACCAGAAACGACATAGTTGAAATTTTTGTCGCTGGAAACTTTTGCAAAACACGTAATTTTATTGGTTAGTTGGTTGATTTTGGTTAGCGACATATCAACCTCGATGGTTTATTTAATGCTGAAATTTAACTATTTTGAACACAATTTCATAGCTTCAATAAAAATATATTTTAAATGCAATCGCACGCCTTCAAGTACAGGTAAAATATATTGGTGATCATTTTACTATAAATATGTATTGTTGGTAATTTTATAGAGAAATGTACTGCTGGTATTTTTTACTATAAAAAATCTTTTTTACATTTTCATAATGTTTTGTTTGGGGTTTTTACTTTTGTCTATATCGGACTTTATAAGGTGATACCAACTCGGGTCAGGGGTGGAACCTGGGAGCAACAGCAATTAAGAGGCGATCCCACTGTCATCAAAACATCCAATCTCCCGATTAGAGGCCTTGTTGACGGATGCAGTTTATCGTCGTACCCAGGATTACGTAATAGTTTGATTAGACTATTGTTTGTAAATAGAGGAAGCAAACACTTGCTGTTACTATTTACAGCAGAATCGTTTCCTAGAGGCAAGGGCAAAGCGCGAGGGGAAAATCACGTTGTCATTAGTTTGATTACAAATTCTGTGTCAATGTATGGTCAAGGCTTATAAGAATTTGTTTTAAGCCAGGCATATTTTCTATCCAATCAGAAAAAAAGACACTCTTGTTCAATTAAAAAGTAGTTAATCTAAACCCCTTTCTGGATCCTCTAAAGACCTATAAATAAGAAGGGTTCAATTTGCTTGGCCTTCTATTATATTGCTTATATTTAAACCGACATGATAGCATGTTTTACACTTTCAGTGTTTCTAATTTCTCTTTTTAGCCAAAACCTTTATACAAAATTGATAAGAAACATCTGCAACAGAAATTAGCTATTTCTTTTTATGGATTAAAAAAAAAGTAATCCAATAAAAACATTAATTAAACTGTGTTTTTATACTTCCGCCAGAGGTTAAAGTACTTGTTATCTCCCTACATTCAAAATCTAACTATCTAGTTGACAATTAATCTGGTATTCAATATGTTCTTGCGTGTCGTGTCTGGATTTTCGTAGTCTATCAGCAATTCCTAAATAAGGAATCCAAAGTTGCATCAACCAACTCAATCAACGATAGACAATTTTCTTCAGGTTTCATTTTGCCCGCTCTATTTCATGAAGGAGAGCAGAGTAAGTTACTGTTTATT